CGCTGGCTGGGATATTCCAGAGGAATCACACTGCCAGCATCCTTTGATTGTCACTCTTTGGCTTCGCCCTGTCCTTTTCCAGGTCGAGCTCCTTTGCTTCCTTTTCCTTTTCCCTTGTTGGCTGGGTTAAACCAGCACTTCCTGGCTCCATGCCCTGGTTTCCTGCACCAAGCGCATGCATGCACTCCACGATTGCAAGCCGGAGGTTGCTTGGAGTCTACTTTGGCCTGACACCCATTGCAGTTAAAACCCCAGCAGAGGGTGCGACCGTCCGAGTGGGTCAGATGAGGGCAATCCTGCAGCTCTTTCGGAAGATTAGCCGTCTTCACAGGAGCTAGAAGACCCCCACCCAGTACGTTCTCTCTGGCGCTTTCTCCCACGGGAAGGCTCTGTCTCGTCAACAGGAGCCGCACTGCTGGACTGACCCTTGGGGAGAGGAAGCAGGCGCATCACTACACGCGGATCGTGACGAAGCTTCTGCATGGCTTCATCTACGGGCATCTTCCCAGTGGAGTCAGCTCGTACTTGAGTAATTTCTTTAGCGATCAAGAGAAAAAGCTCGGAATCAGCTTTCAGGATCTGATTGATCCCTACGCTTGCATAATTGGGCGGAGCCTCTCGCGTGAGGTGCTGCATCAAGTAGGAAACCCAGGATTCGTGAGTCTCCCAGGAGATGATCTGATTCATGTCATACGCTAGCCCTCTGCGCTGCAAACACCACTGGATCTCAAGAGAAGTAGCATGGCTTGCCGTTAACTGATCTGCAACGGGAGCAAGAGTAACGGTGCTCTCGTGCAAGGTGAGGACCTTGCTCTTCTCTTTTCCTCCTAACCTTAACTCTTGGTCCCGTTTGGGACACTTACTTGGAGGAATCCAAGCTACATGGTTAACTTCCACTTGATGTGCCACAGCGTCAATGAGACAGTATGCCGGCTCCAGCTCCTCTTGCCTTTGAGGCGTTGACGTTGGTTGGCAACGCGAGCCGTCTTCTCGGCTACTGGCAGCTTCTTTGGCGCTTCTGACGTCTCGCCCATCACCTGGGCCTTCAAGCTAGCTGTGACATATGCGGATGATTCAAAGTGGAGACGGCGGAGCTTCGCCGCGTCCCCAACTGACGCTCCTGACCCAAGGATCTTATCGCAGAATTGGTTGAAGTCTTCTTCGGACGGAGGTGCTTGCGGGGTCCCACAAGCAAATGCAAGGTCACTGAAGGTCTTGACTTGCTGGGCCAAGAGTTTGCCATGGATCGCTAAGTCTCCGCAAACCAGGCTACATCTTGCTTTGAAGGAGGCTTCGGAATCGACTACTTCTTTTCTAGAAATCTGCTTGAGCAGGGCGGTCAATGGCATGCCACTTCTGGTTGCGCGACAGCAGGTCACTACTTCACTAGACCAAAGCACCACAGCACTCTTCGCTTTTGCTCCAGGTCAAAAATTTCAGGCCAAAGCTTGCGCTTTCCTACAGTTTCTACAGACAGGAGAGCTGGCTTTGATGGCCCTTGGCTCTTCCAAGGGAGGTTTCACTGGCCTTCCGCAGATCGTAAAGCGGTAGCGATGGGCCTTCAGCAAGTGCAAGGCGCCAACCTTCTTATGTTGCACGAACTTGAAACCTGACCCTGGCTCTGGCAAGTCGCTAACCACTCTGGGCCTCGAAGGAGAGTCCGAGCTTGACTCAGAAGAGGACTCAGAATTGGATGAAGTAACCATAGACCCCGAACTCGAACTATTGTCATCCCCTGCATCTTCGTGCACGGAACCGACCATAGGGCCCTCCTCTAGACACGCGTTGGCAGGAGGAGTCAGGCTTCCACACACCGATGTGTCCGACTTGACCTCGATCTGCGCATCTCCGGCAGACCCAGGCGGCCCAACCTTTGGACAAGCTTTCGGGGTTGCGTTCAAGGGATGCTCGGACCCAGCTACTCTGCAAGCTCGGAGCGGCAAACCTCCCGGCCCTGTTGGCGTCTGGGAAGAACGCATTATTCCTGATGGCTTCTATGACCTCCGACAACATCCTAAGGGGGCGGGCCATTGCATCTCGGCCGTACACGTCAGCCATCTTACCACTGTGTGCATGACCTTCTAGGACAAGGCGGTCCTGGTGTGAGAGCCCATATTTTGCCGCAAAGGAAAGGAAGGTTGCTTTCAGCGAATGGGACGTGGTTCGAAGTTCTGACTGATCCTCAAGCAAGAGCTTCAACCCATCCCCGGCCTCGTCGGTATCTAGAGCTCTCACGGTTGGGAAACCAGATCTATCCGGGGCAGGCATAAATGGGCGCTCGTCGCCAAGGGCCAAGTCGCTCCTGGCCTTCATGAACTGGGCAACCCAGTCGTCATCAGTGACGCCTTGCCCTGGCGCTGCCAGCTCGAGGTGCACGGGAAGCTTCCCCCTCAGATTCATAATCTTGTGGGTGTCAATGATTGCACTCAAGTGTGCAGTGCGCTTAGTGAGTGCATGCACAGATTGCCAGACGGTGCGGTCGGCTGCAAGGATTTCCTGCAGGGATGGGCCTCGCAGGGACGGGTCAGACGGGACGGACAAAGCAAACGACAAGAATTTGTCGTTGAAGCGTTTGATCACGAGAAGGTGCACCTTCTCAAGCATGGACAGAGCGGTGGCGTGGACAGACAAGGCTTTGCGGACGGTGGGCTCAATCGGGCCAGAGTTAGGCACGAAAGCTGTGGGGCCCGGGGATTCTTCCTCGGCTTCAAGGAAAATCCGAAGCAGTTGCTGGTCGGTGCGCGGACGGCGGGCATCGTGCCACGAGATCGCGTCTGCCTCAGTGCACCGCGATCGCCATAAGTTCCGGAGTGAGAAGTTCACCGGGGTAGCTGGCCAGGAATTTTTGGCGCATGGCCTGTACTTCGGACGGCATGAGCTTGTGCGATTGCGCAGACGGAGCAGGATTAAGGGATGAAGACGCAGGTGCGGCCGTGTACTGAGAAGGGCAAAGGTCTTGCGCATGCGACAACAGACGGCGCAGGCAGGCGGCCGGCGCTGAGTGGAGCATGGCCGAATCGGCCGGATCAAGCTCAAGGATGGTGCAGAGGAAGGAGTCCTCAGCATCCGGGGAAGGCAAGGCATGACCTAGCAAACCTAAGGCGGTGAACCCTGTGGCTTGCAAGCGCGTCAGGACAGATGCGGGCGCTCCCCACTGCTGAAGCAGGGCGGAGACTACAGCCGCATCATCGAGACGATGTGACATGTCTGGGACGGTGTGCCGGACAGCCGAATATCAAGAATCCAAATGGCATGGAGTGGTTGGTCGTCTTAGTGCGGACGGCCGTGCCCAAGATGGCACCGTGGGAGAGCTGGAACTGCAGACGGTCCGGAGGCACCCAGAGCAGGTCACCCCAGCGGAGGGACGCCCAGACGGCAGTGAGGAAAAAGCCAATGAACAGCGCCTTGGACGGAGGCGTGGCGGAGTCCAACACACGGCGTTCCAACCACACAACAAAGGACAGAGGAAGTGGCAGGCTCTCCCGGCGCTCGGACGGAGAGGTGGCGACAGCAAAAGCCCGAACGACGGACAGCTGCAGACGAGACTGCAAGGCAGGCAGGCCGGCGGTCCTGGCCATCCAGGCCAGGGCTCTAAGTGGGCCAGTGGCCAGGCCCTGCTTACTCATGCGGGTGGCCAGCCAGTCGGGGAGGGCGCCCGGAGGCGGATCATGCGGAGGGGCGGACAACGCATGGCAAAAGGATGCCCGAATGCCAATCAGACAGGTACCTCTGAACGGTAGAGGGCGCAAAGCGTAACATGGGGTGCTGCATGTGTATGTGTGGACTAGACGTGGCCATAGCCTCCGGCAGGAATGAGCTGCGAGGATGCGGCTGAGACGGCGGCAGGACAAGGCTGCGGAATGGCAAGGCTGGCGGAAGGACGGAGAGGCGGTGGCTGAGGGGCGTCTCCGGCAAGGCAGGCGGTGAGTAAGGCTTGCTGCGTGGAGGTAGCACGGGTGCATAAGGGCCTAGGGAAAAAACCTTAGGGGGGCGATAGGAAGGACTGTAACCCCAACCCAGACCAGCGAGAAGTAACAGCTGGCGGCGGAGGAGCCGGACAGGGGATTGATTTGCAGGCCAGTGCAAGTGGAGCCCGAGGAACGGGCACAGGTGCAGGGCGCGGAGGCGGCATGCGACCATCGAACGGAAGGCTCGAAACTGGCAAGGCAACAGCAAAGGACAGGGCACGGACAGGCGGGGCACGGCCCGGCTCGGACTCCTCAGTTTGACCTGACACAGGCAGGGGCAGAACAGTCACTGGGACCGGCTTAGCAAAGGACGCCCAGCGCTGACGAAGCCCAGTAGGCGCAGGCGGTCTGTCCTGGCAAGCATGCAAGGAAACAACATGACAAGAACATGTTAGCAAAGCATGCGGTCAAAAAGCACAACGCTAGAATTCTTTTGCACTGCCAGTTCGACTCCAGGCTCGAGCCGGCCCACCCAGCACTTACGGCCGGGTAAGGCGGACGACGCAAGTGCAGACCAACCCGCCTGCCCAGCCCAATCCCGTCATGGATGCCCCACTGCCGGCCAACGAGTACATGTGGCGTGATCCGATTCTGCCTCTGTCCCCAAGGCGTGCCAATCGTCATCCGTGGACGTCTGACGAAGGCTGGCTGATTAATCCGGTGCTTCCGTCTGTACAGCGCACGATGATCCGTCCGGCTTGGGACATTTTCTGTCTGAAGGCCTGTGAGATACCCAACTGGGTACAGCTCCAGGAACCGGCCGAACCCGTCGCGCACCTGCCGCTTCGGGGCTACTGTTCTCATACTTGCTCCGCCCGCGTCCGTTCCGCCACCTGCTACGGCCTCTGCCTCCGTCCGGTGATGGTGGGTGAACGGGACGGCCACCAGGGGCACAAGTGCTTCGAGCGCCTTAAGGCGCACTGCGACTAAGGGCTGTCCTTTCCCGTCCGCCTGTCTGCAGCCTTATTGACTGCTTTTCTATATATGCCCCTTTTTCTGTCCGACAGGTGGGCTGGATCGGGCTCCCGTCTGCTAGGTAATCTGCGTTCGTAGTCTGGAGCAGGTACGCTAGCATGACACCAGACTTTATGACAGGCTACCACCATAGTACCAGACATTCACTTTTGTGTTCCTCCGCGATTGGACGGAGCCGGGCCTTCTGGTGCGGACGGGGTGGTGTTCACGATGAGGCTGAAGACCGTGCTGCCCACGAGATCGTGCAGACGGGCCAATTCGGAAGCACGGAGAAGCACGCAAGGCCTGAGCCGCCGTAGTCCCGGACGGGATGGATTGGTACGGGCCGTGCCGGATGGCGGCGGAAACGAAGTCTGCGATCCCGGTGCGGACGGGAATGAAGACTGACCACCGGACATGGCTGCAAAGTCTGCTAAAAGCTGAGGCTGAAAGCTTGAGTGCTGAAAGGCGCTGCCGGTACAAAGCTGCAAGCGGCTGCTGCCGTGCAATCAGAAACTGCAAGCAAGACCGGACACCGTGTCCTCAAGTAGAGGGACGGACGGAGGAGAGACTTCCACCTGGCGGACAGAGTGGGCAGCCACTAGTGCGCACCAAGAACGGAAGCTAAAGTAAGGTCGGCATCCAGCTAGACCTGGACGGCAAGCAGGCGGACCCAAAAGAGATCAAGACAGCCCCCAGCCTGGCAGGAGAGGGAGTCAGGATCTCGTCTACTTCGGCACCTGGGCGCGGGAAGCGGACAGGAACAGATCAGGAGAGAGCAGCCGAGCCAGCCTGCAGAAGGAGGGCCAGAGCTCGTCAGCCTGCGGGCGGAGCCCAGTGCGGAACCGCTGAAAGAAAGACACCCCACCTCGAAGGCGAAGATGTCGCATCCGTGGCTACGGACAGGCAGAAGCAACAAGCAACCACAGCAGGCAGAATGCAACATGACATGTAACATGTGCGCATGACGGCATGAAAATCCAAATGCTGATGCTTCACTGTGCTCTGCCTGCGAGCCAAGATGCTGGACAGCATGCTTGCCGTTGCGTCACTGCACAAACATCACTGATTAAACTCAAGAAAGACCACCTGCAACGGGCGTAAGCGCAATACAGCGCACATCCGCAAAACAACCGGGTCCAAACACACTCGGCCTCGCGGAGGAGGAGATGCAGCTTATTCAAGTCACGAACTCTCAGAGGAGCGGCTTTCTGCACAATTGCCGCCAAGCGGGCGACACCTACTCCCCAGCATTTGCGGCTTTCACACAAGGGAATCAGAGACTCCATGTTGAAGGTGTACCTGCTGAAGGTGATGGCTTCCATTATGCTTCAACATGGTAGCAGGGGCTTTGCGAGCCATATAATCCTCAAGCAAGCGATGCCTTTCGGATTCATTGGGGATCGAAATTATCTCCTCGATGCGCT